TGTATTCCTAGGATCATGTAGGAATTCGCAGATCGTGAATCGGAGCCCCGGATGTTCCGATTCAATGACTTAAAGTTTAACGTTTCCCGATAACCGTCCGATCGTGCGATCCTGAGCGATCCGACCGTCCGTTTCAGACCAAACTTGTAGGACGTATTCCCTAGACCTTGTGGAACCCATTGGAACTTTCGGATCGTAAAATGAAGGTCATGGGCCCCGCGGGCCCGTTGACCAAGTTTGGGTAGTTTGACCCTCGTTTGACCGTGAGTCTTCCGAGGTAGTCACACTCTTCGAAGAGTACTAGAACGACCCTTTTGGACGAGTCTTGACCGTCATTTGCTTTATGTTGATTATGTGGGTCTATGAGATTATTTGTATGGTTTTATGATGGAAATCTTATGCTTTTGAATTTAATGATTTATTTAAATGCTTTTTATATTTAATAGTTGAATTCTTTATTTTTGTAAAGTAATAGTGATACATGTGGATTGGACATATTCGAGTGTTTTGAGTTTATATGTAATAATTGAAAAAGTGCTATCTTTGTTGATTTTGTGTGGGGTACTTAGAATGTTAATTTGAGTGTTATTAGCACTACCTTAGGTACCTCCCCGGTTATGGGTTTTATGTTTGAGAGTTTGTTTTGCCCAGGCCCGTCGGAGTTTGTCCAGGCCCTTCGGAGTTTGTTTTGCCTAGGCTCTTCGAATGTCTTCTTAATACGATGCCTTGGGAAGAAAGTGATAATGTTTCAATGTGTTTTTATGGGATTTAGAATTGTGATAGATCTGAAATGTATAGTTGGTTCGGTTGTAAATAATTGTCTAATATCGGAGTTGTGACCGTTGAGATGAGAACTACGTGTGGCTTGATCCCTTGTCCAAGGGTACGTAGGCAGCCTGGGGTCTCACCTAGCTGCAGCCGCGAAATATTATTGTGTTTAAAAGGTTTGATCGATTCTGTATATGTGATTGGATTCTAATGTGGTTATTGAATTTGAATCATGTTTGATGTTTTCGGTGGTATTCGTAAAGTTGTTTGAAATATTCAATTGCATTGTTTATGTAGTTTTCGACTTAAGAACTTTGCTGGTTTTGTTTCGAACCATTTGAAGGCTAGAGGCCTATTTTGTATTTTCCATGTTGATAACTTGTGCATGCTGCCAGTTGGGTTTTAAACTGTGTTTTGTTTTCAGGTTGAAATTTTGGGGAAAATCTAATTTTCAGGGGAGACTGCCGAAATTTCGGCAGAAAGTCTCGATTCTTAGTAGGTGGGCCCGGCATCGGTGTGATGTCGGAATTTCCACAGGATTCGTCTCGAATTTCGAGGAATTCGAGGCGGGTCTTGTCAACTTGGTATCAGAGCATTAGGTTCAAATTCCTGTGGACTCCGCACCTCGTGTGCATCCTTAGTATGTGGGTAGTGTTGTGAGTCCCATCGCAGAATGAGACATCCTTGACGTGGATGACCTCATTCGACGTTTCAAGCACGTCTTGCAAGTTGGTTCCTTAGTTTCTCGATGAAATCTGACTTCTGGATTTTAAAGTTACTTGAATCAGTTTGAAAAATTTGTTGAGGTTTTCATATGAAAATGTAGGATACACGTTGGAACGACATGGGTTGGGAGGAATTATAACTGTAGACTGTTATGTCGAGGATTGGAGAAGGTAAACTAGGAAGAGAAGTAGGAAGAAATTGGGAGGTTGTTTTGTGAATATGAATCTATTGATGAGGGTTTGTTATTGGATAAGGTTAAGATGAGTGAAGATAAATTATTAAATGAAAAGCAATAGGTTTGAGTTCTTGTGGATTTCGCACCTTGTGCGCATCCTTAAGCTTGGGTATTGTAGGGTGTGCTAGTGCAAAGTAATGTTCCTTCGGCGGGAAGGACATTGCAAATTGAACTAGTGATGGTTTCATAAATTCATAATTTTGGAAAATTGTAAAGTATAGCAAACCCAAGTGAGAATTAATGGTGTCCTGGGTGAAGTGTCACCTTATACGTGTGGGCTCTAATGCCGCGATTGACAAGAGTGGAGATTATAAGCTCTTAAATAGACAAGCTTACGAAACATGATGCGTTTTTATGCACGCACATGTTGTGTCGTGTATGTCCGAATACATGGCTAGGTTTTCAACCATTTCATCGAAGACAGAGCTTAGTAGTAGGTTGGCTATTTGGAAATGGTTGAGAATATCATTGACGGGTATTGTCTAGATGAGTCTGGTAATCCAATCTAAAGAGAAGGAAAGCCTCTTATACATACAGATGGAACAGGATTCATAATTGAGGACTTGATTTTATTTTGTCCGAAGAATTTACTCAAAGGAGAGTATATTAGTAAGAAATATGTTGAGGGGAACTTTTCTAATCGATGAAATGCTAGCACCAAAGACAATTTAGATTGGTCATCAATGGTTAAAGTTGACACTGATTCAACGGTTTCAGATGATCAAATAGTGAATTTCGTTGGAGATAGTTAAAGTAAGCAAATCACATAGGAATACGTGATTTTTGAGACATTTAAGTGCACTTCTAGGTCATGGAGGGGTGTCGAAAGGGTACTTCAGAGAATACTTATAGAAGGTCTGTAGGATACTCATAGTGTTCTCTGTAGTGGGTGTGCAGTGTTCAAAATTGCTTATAACCATGGTAAGGTGGATGATGATTACAAATCGATAAAAGATCCTTTCTGGAATTCTTTTCGAAGAATTATATCGGCGATATGGTCTGTCAATTTTAAAGAAAGAGGAATATAACAGTTTTTAGAAAAAGCTGAAAAGCTGAAAGTACTGAATCCGCTGAGATGAGACAAAATTGTCAGGAGCTTTCAAAAGTCAAATTATTTCATAAAAGAAAATTACAGGAGCGAAATTGTTAGAGAAAGTTGATGGACAAGTTACATGGGGATGAGTGAGTGGTGAGCTGTTGCCTAATTATATAAGGATTGACGTAGGTGAAGCCCAAAATGACACAATACTGATAGAAGGGTTACATGGACGGTTGGTCCAAGTATGTTGAAATTTTAGTTGGTGAGCGGGTATTCTTGGAATTATTTATTGGGAAGTTGATAAGGATTCTGGAAACGTGGGAAATAAGTCCCCGATAGGGTAAGCCGTTGTGAGAGCTACATATGAACCCGAGGAGCAGATGCGGGCCAAGTACCCTTATTGCTTTGAATGACATGTACGTAAATTTCGAGGATAAAATTTTTATAAGGGGGGTAAATTGTAACATCCCGGTCCAAAAAAGGAAATAAAATAATTAAATTAAGAGGAAATAAATTTGAATGAGAAAATAAATTGAAATAAACAATAAAAATAAAAGGATTTGCATTAATTAAGGGTTTTGAAGATAATAAATATTTACGTAATTTTAAAAGGGGCAAAAATGGTCATTTTAAGTTCGGGAAGGAATTTGGGACTTCCGGTTATACCGTTGCGTAGAGCACGTTGAAACGAGTCCGTAAACATGTAACGGGCTCGAATCCGAGTTATAACGAGAGAGATACGAGCAAAATTCAAGTAGGGGCAAAATTGTAATTTTGGCAAACTGGTTTTTAAAACCAGAATTTCTCTATCTCTCTCTCTGGTTTTTGGAAACAGCCGGTGGCTTCCAAGAGCCACCGCCGTCACCACAAGTCGCCTCTGGCCATGGGGCCGGACTCAAAAGAACCGAGCCGCCTCCATCTCCCCATCCCGACCAGTCTCAGCCGCTGGAACCACTGGTGCTGGCCGGAAATTGCTGAAATCCGAGCTGTTTTTGGACAGATTTTTCACAAACTTTCGGGAGCTTGTTCGGACGCCTCCGGCCACCAAATCTTGCGATCCAGGTATGGATCTTGAACCTCTCGAGCTGATCTTGCTGTTGGTTGAGTTAGTTTTGGGAAATTTTTGCGTTTAGGTAGTCGTTTAAGCGATTGAATATCTGTCGGCTTTGGCAACAGGTGCAACTGATTAATGTCTGTCTTTCGCAATGTTTTTGCCGTCAGTTGGGAAAAAATCTAGACAACAACATGATTGGCTTCACTACATCTTCCGGCAACAGGTGTTGATACCCACAAGAAGTAGGCGTTGCATAAACACATGGCAGTCATGGCTCTTTAGTCCCGCAAATTTACCCCCGTCAAAATTCACGCAACGCGCAACATTAGAAGCATACCCATCGGGAAACTTTACAGACGATACAAACTTTAAAAACTCTTTTTTGTCATTCGGTTTCATGGAAAAAAAAAATGCAAGATCCCTTCTAGCTTTATCACTGTCCCTATTCATCTATAAACCCCTTCGTATGCCCATTCTTTCCAAATCAAGATGAGCTTTGATCGTGTCCTTTTTCTTACCATCGATATCTAGAATTGTGTCCATCAATTTGTCAAAGACATTTTTCTCAATATGTATAACGTCGAGATTGTGCCTCAATTTTAGTTTCGACCAATATGGGAGCTCAAAAAACATAGGCTTGTGCGTCCAGTTCATATGTATAGAAGGTCTGGTCCTACTAACTGTTTTCCCAAATGGAGCAAAATTCAAACAGTTAAGCTGTTCCAAGATCTGATCACCGAACCTTTTCTAGGTCTGAGACAACGCTCTGTGTTCCCGTCGATCTCTTTATCCTTTTCCCGCCACTCGTGGTCCCATGGCAACTATCTCCAATGACCAAGGTAACAAACTTTTTCAGCGTGCCAACCAGAAGTTACATCTTCCTTACATACAGGACATGCCATATAACCCTTTGTGCTCCACCCAGAAACCATTACATATGCGGGAAAATCATTCACAGTCCACATAACTGCTGCCCGCAAAGTGAACATCTTCCCAGTGGATTTATCGTACGTGCGCACACCGTTTGTCCATAAATCCTTGAGCTCATCAACCAACGACCTTAAGTAAACATCGATTGACCTGCCAGGATCCTCAGTTATCAAAACAGTCATCATCATGTATTTTTTTTATGCATTTCCAAGGCGGCAAATTATATGGGAATACGAAAATCGACCAAGCTTACAACTGGTAACCTAATCTCTTTATCTGAGCAAGAGTTGGTTGATTGTGACACCAAAGGTGTAGACCAAGGTTGTGAGGGTGGCTTGATGGACGATGCATTTCAATTCATCAATCAAAATCATGGGCTTAGTACCGAGACAAATTACCCCTACACAGGTGTTGATGGTACTTGCAACACCAAGAAGGAGGCTAGCCATGCTGCCAAGATAACTGGCCACGAAGATGTGCCTACAAACAGTGAAGTTGCCCTCCTTAAGGCTGTTGCTAATCAACCTATTTCAGTTGCCATTGACGCTGGAGGTTCTGATTTTCAATTCTATTCAAGTGGTGTCTTTACAGGAGCTTGTGGAACAAGTCTTGATCACGGTGTTACCGCTGTTGGTTATGGAGTCAGTGCTGATGGGACCAAGTATTGGTTGGTGAAGAACTCATGGGGAACAGAATGGGGTGAAAAAGGATACATAAGAATGCAAAGAGGTATTGAGGCAAAGGAAGGTCTTTGTGGCATTGCTATGGAAGCCTCTTACCCCACTGCATAGTTTGAATTATACCCTCAAAATCAATATGCCTACTGTATAAACCTTGTAGGTATACTATATATCATGATATGTACGTACATGATGAACTTGTACCCTTAACAAAACTATCTAGTTTTATAATTACCAAAATGAAGAACTTATTCAACTTGTTTGAGTTGAATTATCCAGTAATGTCTAAATTTTACCACTTGCTTGTGTAAACTTCAAAAATAGGCCAAATCAAAGACTTAGAATATAAAGCCTCCTCTACTATAGTTTGTGTTGCATTTATTTATTTATTTATATAATAATAAATTTAAATTCAGAAAAGATAAAGTTGCAAGTAATGTAATACTAACTAGACTATGTGCTTCTTCCATATTTTTATAATAAAAATACTTTTGTTAAAAACGCTTATTTGTAGAAATACTCCAAAAGAAGGAGTACCAAACGAAACGAGCCCTAAAAGATAATTGATTACCTCATGTTACACTTTATTTCTTTATGTTTTCATTTAGCATTTAATTACAATCGATTATTAACTATAGAAACAATTGAACACAATATCTAATCGAAACTAAAGGGAACAAACGACCAAATGGGTACCTTTTGGGACACTTATTCAAAATAAAATAACTCAAAGCACAACCACCGAAGCACCTGGCTGAGCTCGCGGAGCTTTCTAAGCCATGGACATGAAGATGACTGTGATGAATGTGGTAACTCTCCAACCCAACCCTCTTCGACCCAAAAGCCCTTACCTTCTTCCAAACCCAAGAAGAGTCTTCAACTTCAAGACCTCCTCTCTCCACAACCCTCAAGTCTCATCAATCGGAGCTCCAACTCTGGTGGATCAATTCGACCCAACAATCCCCATAGAGCGAGCCGTAACCCCAGCTCAAGGTACACCGATCCTTCCTTTTACTCTCTCGATCTAGACACCCTCTTCTACAGTGGATGGCAGGCCGCAGGTCAGCTTCTATTTAATTTACTTGTTAAAACGGCAGGAAAATGATTGGAGAAAATAGTTATGAGCTTTTGAATGGTTGTTGATTTTCTGGATACATTAAACAGATAAAAAATCCAGGGGAGTTTTTTCACTTGCAGGTGGAAGCTTTTGAATGGTTGTTGATTCTCAGTACATATGAAGACATGAAAACAAGTAAGTGTAGATGTTTAGGCATAACTGGTCAACATTAAGACTCAATGATGACTAAACTTAAGTAGAGACAAAGGAATAAAAAAATATAAATACTAAGTTACCATTTAAAATTTTGAAGTAAAAAAAAATATTTTGAAGTTTAAAGGGGGATTCATAGTGAAAATAGGTATAACCGGGATTCGGGAAAACCCATTCCTACAATATTGCTTTTTTTTTTTTTTTTTTATAAACAAACGATGTTTTACTTTAATCTAATCTAAATTATAGGAAGGGGGGTTTGAACTCAAGTGTAAAATGGGGAGCACATCTCCTCTAGTTAACTTGGCTAAGCCTTGTCTACACCATATTTGCCTCTTAAGACAGGGTCATGTGCAGATTGGGGAAAAAATTTCATCTCTATTCAAACAAAGCTTAACATGTCTTCGCTATTCAAGTTCAAGTTCGGATATGAATACAAGTCCAACTTATGACCCTCAAATAAAAAGAGCCCAACTTGTGAACATATATATTACATACATTGGAGTGGGAGTAGGCAAGTCATAAACAAAAAAAATGGTTAAATCAAAATAATCCTATTAAAAGTTCTATTTCTTTATAGGGTAATATGTGTTGTTGTAGGTGTCTCGATACAAGTCATGATGTGTAAGTCCAATATCAGAGAATACAACAATAATCTACATAATATAGGTGGTCCACTTCTAATTGCACCGAGGCCTTTTAAGTTAAAACCCCACACCTAAAGGTCCATTGGGCCTAACCAAACCCAAGAATTGGACCTAGGTGGTTAAGGTGGGGACAATCTCATGCATGGTTTAGACAGATAATGGACTCTTATTGGTCCCGTTGGTACAACAATTGGTATCAGAATCTAGTTCGGCTAAGATCCACTTGGTTCAAGTGGAGTTATTGACATGTTTAAGGAGGCGACTCAAGTAAAAATTCATGGATTGGCGGAGAAAGGTGGAGCGGGCTAGTGGAGCAAAGGCAAAGTATCAAGGAAATCCTAGTGGTGGCTAACTAGGTGGAGCAAGGGCTCCTGACATGGCTTGAGAAAATCCTAGGCGTAGGTGGAGCAAGGGCTTCTAGTGAGGCTCAAGAAAATCCTTGTCGGAAGAGATGGAGTTTTACGAGGACCATGTCATCCTTGAAAAGTGTGAGTGTTGTAACGGGCAAGGTTGCCTTGGCTTGGATCTCGCCAAGGTGGAGATTGTTGGTGTAAGTGGCTCAATACAAACTATGATGTGTAAGTCCCACATCGAAGAATACAATAATAATCTACAGTTTAAATATAGGTTGTCCACTCTTAATTGCACTGAGACCTTTTAAGTTAAAACTCCACACCTAGAGGTCCATTGAGAGTAACCCAACCCAAAGATTGGACCTAGGTGGTTAAGGTGGGGACAATACCGGTACCTGGTTTGGACAGGTAGTGTACTCCTATTATTTTGAGTTTTATTATTTTATTTTATGTCTTTTCTTTTTATTATGACTATGTGTAACTAAATACTTTTTCTAGGGCATGATGACTATGTGTAACTAAATATTTTATTTTATGTCTTTTCTTTTTAATATGATGATATAGTTTTCTTATTTTCTAGGGCATGAGACTAATTACCCCTACACTGATGTTGACGGTACTTGCAACACCAACAAGTAAGTCATCCATGCTGCTAAAATAACTGGCTTTCAAGATGTGCCTATGCAAACAATGAAGGGACCCTTCTTAACGCAATTGCTAATCATCCTATTTATGTTGCCATTGATGCTAGAGATTCTGATTTTGAATTCTATTCAAGTGGTGTCTTTAAGGGGGAGTTGTGGAACAAACCTCGATCATGGTGTTACCGATACTAGTTATGGGGTCATTATGGGATCAAGTATTGGTTAGTGAGAGCATAACGGGGAAAGAAGGGTACATAAGAATACAAAAAGATGTTGAGGCAAAGGAAGGCCTATGTAGCATTGCTATGGAAGCCTCTTACCCCAATGCATAATTTGGATTACCATCAAAATCAATGCCTATAGCCTACTATATGTATATTGTTAGGTATATTTGTAGGATTTTCAAAATATTTTTCCAAAGTTCATTTGAATATTAAACATGCATTTAATCAAATTAATCGCAGCGGAAGTCTAAGGTGGTTGTTTAAATCCAAAAACAAAACTTCTTCCAAGTATCTTAAGCCATGAACATTGATATGTTTTTCATAAATGAAAATTCAAGAGAAAGGATAAGATCTAATTACCCTTGAAGCAATTATATGAACCAATTTGTGTTTGGTCTTCTCTTGATGATTTCCTCTTTGTTGATCTCCTCTTTGATCTTTGATCTTTGCTCCTTGATCTTTCTCCTCCATGTGAGCCACAAAAGTATATGGCCTCTAAGTCTCCACACCAATGGAACCTTGAGATGAGAATAAGTATCTTGAGAATACTTGGATGCTAGTGCAAGATTCTCAAGATTGGTTTCAATCTAAACCACATTGAAAGATGAAAGTGTTTCACTCTTGAAAACTATCATTTTTCTCTCTTTGATCTCCCAAACCTATTTGGTTGATCTTGGATTGTGTTTGTGTGTTAATGAGCTTATAGAAACAATTCCCATACACATTCACTTAACCATTTTCGGCCAAATCCCATTGGGCTTCCAAAATTGGGCCTTATGACACTTAAACAATAATATTTAGGTGTCTTAAGCCCTTGGGCTTGATACCCAACCATTTGGACTTCCCTCTAACTATTATCGAGGCCCAAATACGTTTTTACACGTAGTAAATCATCCACATCAAATCAATCAAATTGATTTCCTCATTCTAATTTGTATTACTCAAAGTTAACCATTTAAGGTGTGCGATCCATTAGGTTCTAATTAGCAAGGCAGTGGGAAAATATTAGAACTCTTTCTAACCAACTGGAATTAAAACCCCTTTTTAATTCTTCCTTGCAAATATGTTTTTACACGTAGTAAATCATCCAAATCAAATCAATCAAATTGATTTCCTCATTCTCATTTGTATTACTCAAAGTTAACCATTTAAGGTGTGCGATCCATTAGGTTCTAATTAGCAAGGCAGTGGGAAAATATTAGAACTCTTTCTAACCAACTGGAATTAAAACCCCTTTTTAATTCTTCCTTTATTTGGATCGATCACAATCAATCCTAGGACTTCCACAAGCCAAGAGTGACATCTAGCAATATATCAAGGCTACCCAAGCTAACCAGAATAGATAAAGAACCTATTCAGTTGGAATTGCAATGCAATACGATCCTTCTCTTATACAATGTTTCAAATCATATTATTAGGGTACAGATTGTTTATGTCAAACCCCTAATATGATTTATAACCTCAGGTGATTCAAAAGAACATGATTAAGAACAACTTTCTAAAACAAGCTCAAAATACTTTGGCCAAAGATTTACTAAATCACATCTTGAAACATTCTCCTTCTTTATCAAAAGTAGAGATTCCTTATTGTACATTCACATGCCCCTATAATGAATTAAGAGATCCCAACAACACTTAAGACAAACCTTTTACGGCTTGCCTTTAAGAGCTATCAAAGATAAATAACGCATCACAGGACAACCATGATGCCTCAGGTCTAAGGACTAATTTGCATTAGTGCAACTATGAGTTCTCATTTGACATGTAGATAAATACTCCATATGAGAACTACGGTTGACCGCGTTCAGTGTACTCATTCACTAATGAGCACCCACATACTTGTATTAGTGTCAACTACACAAATGGTTTGAGACTAACCATCCTCCCAATTGAGCATACATAATATGCGCTAATCTTGACGGTTTATCAATGCCCATTTGATAACCTATGATTAGGAACATTTTGGGATACTACAATT